CATAAATCCAACATCTTGGGCTACCCTTTAGATTAACTTCCGAGATGGCCATTTCTGGACCGATAAACTTTTTTCCCCAATTCTTTTCTCTAGAATTTATGTACCGTTACCATAGCAACTAGACAAATTTCTTGGAAATTTTTTCCTCCTCCTTGGGAGACGGAGCATGAAATTACACTGGAAATGTTTTGACGTTTATAGGTTAAATGACATTTACATTCAACTTCAGATTATTTCGGGTTCATTCTATAAGTCAATAAATAAAAATCATTTATCCAAGTCTTCGACTCAGGAGAATATTCAAAATATTCGTGTTCTCGAAAAAATTTCCGGAAATACAGTTCTCAACACACCAAATGGACCACTCATAATTTCACTCTATTTCGAAGACCTGTATTTTTTTAAAAAATTGTCCGATCTTCATGCGGTTCTCGATATCAGATGTGATGTTTCATCGGCTTCGAAGAGAGCTAGAACACTCTAAAAAAGTCCGCAAACCAAAACTTACACAGGGTGTAAAGTGGAACCATTACACTATGGTCTACATTTCCAATGCTGCCAGAACTCGAGAAATTTTTTTCTGATCAAAAGTCAGTCATAATATGATACACTGGGACCTCATCTTGGGACGTTTTCGTGATTTCTCCTTAATTGGCCATTGGAACAAAAATTCGATTTTTTTTCGAAAGTCTTGCATTTCTTGACTTTTTTCTCTAGAACTCTACTTGAGCTGACTATTGGGAAGAACTATTCTCATGTTTTATGGAGGATAATGAAAGACGAAAAAAGCACTTTTTTAGAATATACAGGATGATAAGAAAATAGGACAAAATCTCATTTCAGTAAAAAAACTAAAAAATAGTGACTAAAACTATGGCCCATTCGATCCAGTATATTCAGGAACGGCCTTCTCGATATGCATTATTTATATTAGACTATTGACTCGAGATGTTTTCGAAAATTCGCCTCTAATTGAATCACAGGATGAAAATTTTCAATTCAAACTTGTTTCCTGATATTGATGATTTCCAATATTTATTGCCCAAGTATGAGACACAGAGTATTGTTGTTCAATGTACTGAGTGTTCTACAACTCATCTGACAAATTTATATCCACTTTATATCCACTAAAACTATTCGAAAAGGGATCTATTGGCGAAATATGACATTAGTGAATTCTTCAGCATTATGAAGATCCAACAAGAAAGTCCTATATCCTAAATTTCCAGTACTTGGTAGGCCTCCCCGATTCAACAAAACCTCATGAAATCGGTTTGGCATAGATTCTATGAGGTTGTTGATGAAGTCTATTGATATTGCCGCCCATTCTGGATAAGGTTGTCATTATTTTGGGGTGCCTCGCCTTCTCGATAGGTTGAGTTTCATTAGGCTCCACACATGTTCAATCAAATTCAGATCTGGAGATAATGCTGGTCACCACATTCTTCTAACATTATTGTTTTCTAGAGTTCGTAATTTGTCAGATAAGTTGTGGAACACTCAGTATATTGAACAACAATGCTCTGTGTCTCATACTTGGGCAATTAATATCGGAAATCCGTTGATAAAAAGATAAGAATCATCGATATCAGGAAACAAGTTTGATTTGAAAATGTTCATCCTGTATTGTCCTATTTTCTTATCATCCTTTTCGAATAGTTTTAGTTGATATAAAGTGTTACAAATTTCATTTTCCATCTCGTTTCAATTCTATAAAATATTTTTGTGATAGACTTCTTATATAATATCGTAGTTGTGGTTGAAATTTGTCAGATAAGTTGTAAAACACTCAGTATATTGAACAACAATTCTCCGTTTCTCATACTTGGGCAATAAATATTGAAAATCATCGATATCAGGAAACAAGTTTGAATTGAAAAATTTCATCCTGTATTTCATTTAGAGGCGAATTTTTGAAAACATCTCGAGTTAATAGTCTAATATAAATAATGGATATCGAGAAGGCCGTTTCTGAATATACTGGATCGAATGGGCCATAGTTTTAGTCACCATTTTTGATTTTTTTCACTGAAATGAGATTTTGTCCTATTTTCTTATCATCCTGTATATTCCAAGAAAGTGCTTTTTTCGTCTTTCATTATCCTCCTTAAAACATGAGAATAGTTCTTCCCAATAGTCAGCTCAAGTTGAGTTCTAGAGAAAAAAATCAAGAAATGCAAGACTTTCGAAAAAAAATCGAATTTTTGTTCCAATGGCCAATTAAGGAGAAATCACGAAAACGTCCCAAGATGAGGTCCCAGTGTATCATAATATGACTGACTTTTGATCATAAAAAAATTTCTCGAGTTCTGGCAGCATTGGAAATGTAGACCATAGTGTAATGGTTCCACTTTACACCCTGTGTAAGTTTTGGTTTGCGGACTTTTTCAGAGTGTTCTAGCTCTCTACGAAAAGCCGATGAAACATCACATCTGATATCGAAAACCGCATGAAGATCGGACAATTTTTAAAAAAAATACAGGTCTTCGAAATAGAGTAAAATTATGAGTGGTCCATTTGGTGTGTTGAGAACTGTAATTAAAGCTCTCGTGATACTATAAGTGAGAATATTCCTTTTAAAACAAGAAAGCAGATGTACAAAAGTTAGTAGCCAAGTTGACTTCTCCCGTCACTTTGAAGTATCCGTCAAACAATAATAAAATGGTCACAAATCGTCGCCCTAGAATAATAATAAGGTACTATCTGGACCAAGTATAGTTGCTCAGAATCGTGCTGCGAACTTTTGATTCCATTTATTTCGTTCCATTTCAATCGATCAGATTTTTGGTTCTGATTAAGTATATTTAAATGGGTTGAAGCAGGGGCGGCTCCTCAGAGAAGGAGGCAACGGAGTCTGAGCCTCCTCGGAGATATTCCTCAAACTGATATTATCTGTACTTTCTCATTGAAAGGACACTAAAATAAATGAATTTTGATTTTATTTCCTGTTTTTAGGTGAATATTTTTGAATTGGCAACAGTGCTTGCCCAAGCATCAAACGTTGAAGTCTGCAAATCACGCGTGAAATATTCAACTTGACAACATCTATAGGAGGCTATAGACTCCTTCACCATGCGCAACCCACGCGCGCAATGCAAATGCCGGAATCCGCCCGAATAGCACGTGTTTGTCGTGTCGCATCGCGAATTGCGGACAATCCAGCGCGAGATGTTAGGTGAAAGGTTAGGGGCTCTATAAATTTCTGAAAAATGAGTGCTTTGAACGATTGCGATCTATTGGAATACTTTTTGGTGGACCCATTCAGTGTTTTGTCTTATGAAGATAAATTTTGATTGTGAAAAACAAACGTCCGACACCGGAATTAAAAAATCTGATTGTAACAGGTACCTAACGAATAAAATCGTTCGTTCAATTCTGAAAATTATAAAAAAATATATCTGGTTGACGGGATCTGAGGTAAGGAATGAGCTATTTTGTTGGTATTGCGTATTATTTTCAAAGGATAAGTCATCATGTTGGGGGCATTTAGGATATAATGATTTGAAAAATTTGCCTCGCGAATTGTATAGACACTGCAAATCACAGGAACACGTCATCTCTCAAGTATTGAGTTCAGGTCAACTGGTGGACAGAATGTCATTAAAGCTATTGATGTGGGTGAGAATAGTTTTCACAATAAATCTCATATCATTCAGCCTCCTCTGTCATGAAAGTCACGAGCCGCCACTGGGTTGAAGTGTTTATGAATTGATTTTCCTCTTTCCTTCATGCTCATATAAGCGTTAATTCGAACATCTGAAATGTAGATTGAACTTCGTTTCAGAAGTATTTTCTATTGTAGTAACTATAAACAAGGTTCTAATAGACAAATATACAATGAAACACATCTTTGTTTCATAAAATAACACGAGAAAACTAATTTGAAATGTATATAAGTATAAGTATATGTGTATGGGTAGTAATAATAGTAATATGTTGAAAAAAATTGCAGCAGTAGATTTTTTCAAAAATATATTTCGAATTATCGAAATGGGGAAGTACAAAATGACTGAGTCAACTTAGATCTTTCAGGAATGGAGCGAAATAGTTTCTGTCTCGTTCATACAGCATTCATTTTTTTAAATGCGTTCACCTTCCCCCAATGCAGCAACTTGAAAAAAGGAATATTTTTGTATTGGAGTTTTTTGATACAACTTTCAAAATCTTTGAAATCGGTAACTTTCAGCTACTAACATGTAGTATGGTTTCTTTTATTCACTGCTCTCAAGTTCCTCATGAAAAATAAAGGTAAAAAAAATCAGTCCCAATTCATGTACTTCGCACTATGACTGTGAATGTTGATGAACTGGAATTGGGTGTATATCGTATATGTATTGGTTTGAAGAAACAAAGTTCTATCTGCGTGTAGATAGGACCATGATAAACCAAATTATGTAGTTATTAGGATGTTGTTACACCTGTTACACCTAACTAAGAGAGGAACATTCTGAAAATAGAACTCTGCATTATGACTAACTCGTTTAAATTCCAACAGATTGCGATAGTTGACCTCTCAAAATTAAGAATTCATCAGATAGAACCCTAATATACCTAATATATTATTCTAAGGCGACGAAATCATCAGCGACGAAATTCACGAAACAGACTCGTTTGTTATTTTCATTAGTGGAAAATGTCTGATTCAAGTTCAGATTTCCCAAGTGATATATCGATAGGAAGCTGCACAACACTTCTGTTCGCCCATCCATATTTTTATTTCTTAGCTGGTGTTGAAATAAACACGTTTCATCACCAGTTATGTATTATATTTCAGTTTACGCAACTGGTTACGTAAAGTAAGACGTTTCAAAATTCCGTCAGTTCTGCAAAGTGTCTAATTACATAAATATGTCAAAATTATAGAGAATAAATTGTCTTAAGTGATACTGGAAAAACACTCTTGACTTACTAGACGCTTGGCGTCGGGGGAACATCAATTTTTATTTTCATCGAGAAGTATCTTTTAGTGGTCTCATTTGATGTTCATGAAAAGAAATTGGTTGTCGTTTTCTGTTTTGATTTTTATTCATAAATAATAACAGACTTAAAATATAAAATAAAAAACATAAAAATTATGTCGGTGGTGCTGCGTGTATAGATCGCCTCCTCAAAAAAATCCTTCCACCAGTAGGGAACTGCCTTGTAAGTAATATCAGTGATGATGCTAATGCCAGTTTGACTGATGTGCTTTGTCCACCAGGTAAACTGACAAATACAGTTGCGACGGCTGCTACTCCATCGCCTGGAAATCAACGTACATGAGATAAGCTTCAGAATATTTAATCCACCTCAAGTCCTTTCTCTTTAATGTTTGGTATTTGGTCCAGTTTGTTTCGTGTTTCATATCTATAAAGGACAGGGTGTTCCAGAATAACGTTCATATAGCTTCAATGAATCCGCCTGTACAATTTACGACCTGTCTTCACTCCACTGTATGATGGATTGCCTCAGATGGTTTGAATCATTTCATCTTTCAAAAAAATAGCATAGAGATGGACAAGTGTGTCTCTGAAATACGTAAAATGTCAAGATGTTGGGCACTCTAACTCTAGTCAAAATGCCAGGATGTAATTCTGCAGATGGGAATATTAAAAAATGTTCCTATCAACATGTGTCCGAACATACTTCCTAAGGGAGCTAGAGCCCTTTGAAAGAAGTTCCTTAAATGCAGTTTTCTTCAATTATCTTTGTTATCGTTTCGTGGTACGGAAAACATGATTCAATACACAGAGAGGTGCGAAACTCCTAACTGAGGCCATAAAAATGCCCCTAGTTTTTTTTGTTTCAAGATGCATCTCATTTATAATACTAGAATATGCTTCTTCAAACAGTTTTACATAAAAAAGGTATTCTTGGTTGAAATGCCGTAAAACAAAATGTTTTCGAGAAAAAGCAGATTTTTCATTTTGATGTCCAGAAAAATTCACCTAGGGAATACGTTTGTGAAATTTAGTCAATATCCATGGCGGATATTTTCTCAACAAATCAACATAACGATCAACTCTGATAAAACAAACCAACAAATTGGAAATGTAAAATTTTAATCATCAATCATCAATCATCAATCATCAATCATCAATCATCAATCATCAATCATCAATCATCAATCATCAATCATCAATCATCAATCATCAATCATCAATCATCAATCATCAATCATCAATCATCAATCATCAATCATCAATCATCAATCATCAATCGTCAATCGTCAATCGTCAATCGTCAATAATCAATAATCAATAATCAATAATCAATAATCAATAATCAATAATCAATAATCAATAATCAATAATCAATAATCAATAATCAATAATCAATAATCAATAATCAATAATCAATAATCAATAATCAATCATCAATAATCAATTATCAATAATAATCAATTATCAATCAACAATTCTAATTATTTTATCATAAGAGCATACGCTCAAAATTATTGTGAATTTTATCGGCAATCAAAATAAAAAATTACCGCCTTTCTTGAAAATGGCATTCTAACAAGAATACCTTTTTCATGTAAAAGTCTTTGAAGAATCAAATTTTGTTAGTACCTAGGAATGAGATAAATCTTGAAACAAAAAAGCTTGGGGCATTTTTATAGCATCGGTTACGAGTTTCGCACCTCTCTGTATATTTAATCATGTTTTTCGTACCACGAAACTATTTGTAAAATCGAATCACCCTCAGGTACCAAATTTCGTAATTCTAGGAACAATAGTAACAAAGATAATTGAAAAAAACTGCATTCGAGGAGCTACCTTCAAAGGGCTATAGCGCTCTTAGAAAGCATTTTCGGACACATGTTGATAGGGATATTTTTTCTTATTTTCATCAGTAGAATTACAACCTGGATTATACGAACGTTAATCGGGGGTAGCCTGTATACTATTGCCATTTATTCAGACCAGAGGTAATGTTCCCAACATATTCACATTTCACGTATTTCAGAGACACACTTGACCAACTCTATGCTATTTTTTCAAAATATGAAATGATCCAACCAAACCATCTGAGGCAATCCATCATACAATGGAGTGAAGAGAATAGGACAGGTCGTAAATCATACAGGCGGATTCATCGGAGCTAGACTTTAATATAATGCCATTATTGGTAGTGAATTCGAATATAAGACTCTCAGAATTTAACAACCTAGTATTTCAATCGCCATTTCAATATAAGAGTTGGTTTCAAAATTTTTACGTCGGCTATGAAATAGTTTCAATGCAATGAAGAAAATTAGGCTTGTGAATTAATTCACCATCCAGAAACTGTAGTTATCACCCAGTAGTCATGAGAGTCAACTTGTCACTGACATATTATGACAGTTGTCGAAATTATCTACAGGAAAAAAATAAGAATGAAAATCGTTCCAGAAACTTTCAAAAGTCAACACGTGTAGGTAGATACATAAAATTCTCGTTGATATCCATATTTTCGATTTGAATTTGCATGGGCCAGATGAAGAAACCGAGTATCATGGAAATTTTATGTATTAAGACTCAGAAAACTCCATTAGGAAATTTCAGAAAAATACTAATATCTTCCCAGAAACCGGAGATATTATCAAAATAAAGTTGAAAAATATGCAAAAAACAGAAATCTGAAATTTGTACTTCAATTATCCTAATCAAATATCTTGTAACTATAAAATTGAATAATGAATGATTCACTTGGGTTTTATGAAAAACAAACCTTTACTGCTGTAATATCTCACACTAGTGAATAATATCCTTAACAATCTCATAAGTAATTGAAATGGAAGTAGTATTGAGGCTTAGGAATTAAAGATAGTAGATTGGCTTTGAATGAAAGAAGGGATATGATTTTTCAGCATGATGGATGCCCGGTACATTTTGCTCTGAATGTGCGGAATGATTCAGATTGTATTATTTAGAATTGAAATATCCAGACAAGTGGATAGAAAAGGGTAGCATATTTGGAAAGACACCTGGATCTCCAGATCCTTAGATTTTGATTGATATGTATAACTGAGATATTTTTCGAAAGATGAACAACTAGGAGCGATATGATAAATGTCGTCGAAAGCATATACCAATGCCAGAAGTGGAAGCTGCAGCGTTAGTCACTCCACAGACTCATTTCATGTATAGAAAAATGATGGGAGGCAATATGAGCATCTAGAAAAACACCAGTTGCTTTCGATTATTTCCATACTATGTAATTAATATTTTCTAATATTATTTTGATTATATCTCCGGTTCTTCAATAGGTTCCACCTTGCGGATTTCGATTATGTTCTTCTTGTTTGCCTACTTTCATATCAGAATAAGAAAATGTATGGTTCCGTTTGGAATCTTCAAGAAAAAATACAAATTATTCAAATTCAAAGGCGCCCTCTAGCGGCTGCCACAAGATCTACATCGATTATATCTATGATGTATCTGGATGAACAAAATCAATCAATCAATCAATCAACTTTATTATTCCCAAGAAACAACATTTGTTTATAGCAGGGAACATAGATCCTCAATTGACTCAGCTGTTAGGTACACAATAATTGAAAACTATAGTAGTTGTACAAGAAAACTATAAAAATGAGATAAGATGTCAATATTACAGGAGTAGATGTTTCTTGAATTCTCTTTTAAATTTTTCAATCCTATCAATCAGCTTCAAGTTATTTGGTAGTGAATTGTATTGTATCATTCAAATAAACTCTTCATAATGAGAATGAGTTTGTCGAATTCCGTTGAACCAAATTGAAGTTATAAGCGTTTTGTCATCGCGCTTGTTATTCTTTTCTTCAACCCTTATTTGAGGAGCTGAAGCAAATGTTTTCAATTGAAATGATTGGAAATCACCTCGAGCTATGTAAAAGGTGTGTTTCAGAGCACCTTATTTGATGATGCGCTCTGTGCTGTACTAGGGAATGGTTATACGTTACCCGGTACATAAATCGAACTTAACTTTGGGACAGCACGTGGTCACATATGTATTCAATATGCACATGCATTGAATCATGTGGTGTCCAAAAGTTAACCTGGTCGGCCTCTACAGACGAAATAAAAAATAATTTTGTCGAATTTAAGACAATCGGAGAATTTTTGGTAACTATCAATTAGGTTGATGACGAAAAATCCAAAATACAATTTCGATAAATCTGAAAATTCGGTTTTTTTCTATTTTCCTTACCTGTCGGTTCGATTGCCACCGGCCTCAGATCGCACCGCGCCGCCTTCTTCGACTTCGGCCTGCCGCCCGCCGTCAGGCTAACAGCGACGGCGGCGAACGGCCGCTTCGCCATGTGCAGCATCTCGACCACGTGACGGCGCCTGGCGCGTCTCACGTCCGCCGCCTGCTTCGCTTTCCACGCGACTACGCACGCCGCTAGGAAGAGAAAGAAGCACGAGAAGAAGACCGAGAAGAAGACGAACAGGTCGATATGGAGCTGGTCCTGGCGCGAGAAGACGACGCCATAGGAGACCTTCTTGTCGGTATCGGTTGGCTCGAGGGCTTGCAGTACGAGGAAGAAGCGAGTGGTCTCCAGGCTGTGGTACTCCTGGAAGGCGGTCGCAGAATGACTTGGTTTCAAGTGATTATTAAAAATATTTCATTCTTCTTTATTAGACGGCTGATCATTAGAAATTGGGTATGGAACTATCAGATTGCATCACAGGTTAGGGAGTCAATATTTGTTCACCATATGAAATTAACAAATTGGGGATATTCCCGTCCAACCGGAAAATTGCAAGGGTACAAACAGTTCCTAAAAAAGGCAAAAAGACCCTACCTAGCAACTACACACCGATCGCACTGCTATCTATTATTTCAAAGATCATGGAGAAAGTTATCAACATCGAGCTCATGAAATACCTGGAACTTTCAGATATTATCAACGATAGGCAATATGTCTTCCGTCATCAGAGATCAACTGGTGACCTGCTCGCTTACATCTCACATATATGGCAGCAATCTATTGAAAAATATGGTGAAACCTTAGCCGTGGCACTTGATATCTCCAAGGCATTCGATCGAGTCTGGCACCACGGACTCCTCGCCAAAGCTTCCATCTTATGGCTTGCCTCCCCAGCTATGTTCTCTGCTAGCTAATTTTCTCTCAAACAGGTCTCTCCATGTAGTGGTCGACGGAGTTTCATCTGACTCTCTTATCATAAATGCTGCCTCTTTCAGGGCTCCAATAACAGCCAGGCAAATCAGAAACGAACGAGAAAGAAATGTTGACAACATAATTATGGATTTGGCAACAATTCTCGGATGGGGATCCAATAACTTGGTAGATTTCTATGCACCGATAATAATTGCATATGGTTAATAATGACCCAAGTGGATCAGAGCACTATGCGCTCTGTAGTGTACTAGGGTTTGGCTATGGGCCACCCAGTACATCCCAAACTGAACATTATATATAATAAATAATGCACTATTTCTCAACAACAAAATCATTCAATGAATGTATATCAAATGAGAATTTATTGTGAGCTAAACATAAATATTCGCGGTAGCCAAGGTCATCATCTGACGTTGCAATGACATAAAAACTACGGGAAACATGTCCAACTTTCAATCTGAGCCAGGAGTTATTAATGTTTCCTCGTAGTTTTCATGTCATCGCAACGTCAGATGATGACCTTGGCTACCGCGGATACCCAAATTCAATAAATCCATGAACTTTATGCCACTAAATCAAAAACTAGGGTCCCTTGATGGAAATTGACGTTAAAGTCATCTTAACAGGGTACCGACAGATCCTCGTCTCCTCTCACTCTAAAGTGTTTGTGAAACAGTTATATAGTTCCATCCTTATTCAATTCTGGGGATAAACACTAGATTTTTGACAGTCGTTGTTTTTAGGTTATATTGCACTGGCGTATCATACGTAATTTCCATATGGAATTCCTGAATCAACTATAGCAAGATATAAACAATCCTCTAGTTTCAGAGTTAACTACTCCAGCATAATCTTTGCGAGGCAGGGAACATATAAGGCCTGTTCGTTTGTATTGCTAAACTTGCTAAAGTTGATTATTTTCCCATAGTTGTCTCTGTTCATGGCATGATGTAAACAAAGAATGTCATAGAAAAAAATCAAGTTCAGCAGGTAGAGCAATGACAAACGAACAAGCCTATAAATTGTACTGAAAGCTTAATATATTTCACCAAAAGAGACTGTTCTCAGACTGTATACCAGGGGTGACTGAATTGACTAAATGAATTCTGATTTCAAGCTGAGCAGAAGTTTATCTATGAGCTGAATGAGCTGAGCGTTATGATTGATAAATGGTGGAAACCTCGATGTACTACTGTACTCATGTCATGTGTGCTAAGTATATTTTCGGAAATCAAATTCGGAGAAGAATTTATGGAGTGACTAATATCACACTATGTATAAAACTTCATCTGGGACGAAAAGTGGGCTGATAAATAGTAATACGTAAAACAATCATTATCTCCTACCCCGAAAACCCCCAGATACCAATTTTGATAGAATCGGATCTTCATTACAAAACTCGTTAGCCATATTGGATCCGCTATCTTGAATTTCCCAATTTTGGCATAAAATCATGAAGTTCGATCCTGAAAACCCTCAGATACCAATCTTAAATAGAATCAGATCATAATTAGAAATTTCTTCAAGTTTGACGAAACAATCATTATCTCCAACCCCGGAAAACCCCAGATACCTTCCAATTCTGAATAGAATCGGATCACAATTACAAAACTCGTTCGCCATATGATCTTCCTTAACAAGTACCCTGTTAAGATGACTTTAACGTCAATTTCCATCAAGGGACCCTATCAAAAACGTGAAACATCAGTTATCAAACTGATAAAAGAACTGTATAATATTGAATCAAAACTAAGTCTTACCTCTGGTAATGTGATGACTAGTCTATCCTGCAAGTGTTTAACAAGAAGAATTGTTTTCGGCTGCGTAATTGTGATGTATGTCCTTAGTCCTACAGCCTCCTTTGCCAAATACATGTCTTTGGATTTGAGTGTGCCATTTTCCCAATGTCCGTACTGTCCATCGACATCAATATCGATGACACCCGTTGTGGAATTCGAATACGCAACGTATGTGTCATCATGGGTGCTCATGAACACATTCATTTTACCTTGAGTGACATCTATTATTATTCTTATATCGACATTCATGAATCGGGGTTGAATAACGAAAAATACTACTTCACCGGGATGTAGAGGTTTGGGTTTCATCTTGCATTCATCTGAAACCAACAATCATTAATGCTAAGATGAATATCAACCAAATTTGGGCGATTGATCGATCTACTCAGAAGTATTTTCATCATTGTAATATGGTTCAGGAATTGTCACAGTTCACAGCCTTCAGATTGAGTAAAAAAAACACCAAGTCATGGTGCGTAGACACTAATACTAGGAGACATTATAGTTATTTATTATACAAGGGAAAAAAGTAGTCGATTTTAGTTCGAGGTTGTGTTGTCTCCCGACGCGTAGAGAAAAGATGTATCTATATTGGGAAAATATTACATTATAGGTATGTTCTCTGTTGCACCGAGTTGTTGGAGTCATCAGTATTAAAAAAAAGCAGTTATTTGACATGACAATCACAACTGTTTTTTCCTTTATTTATTTTTATTTTTGTGATTTGATGATGATTTAGATTGTTTTCAATTAGAAGTTCAGAGTTGGCGACAAATTATGTAATATGGGATGTATCAAAAGTGATATTGAAGTACTTGTCTCCAGATCCAGAAGTTCAATCAGCTCTTCTAATAGTTCCGATGATGGAGGAATGTTGTTTATATTGGGGAGTAGACGAGATAGGTTGAAAATTCTCAACAACCTATATACGAAACATTACATCAAATTATGATGATATGGATAGGGTCACCAATAAGAATTATCTGTTGTACTCAAGTTTCCTGAATGTTTGCACTAATTTCTTGAAACTCATGATGAGAAAAGAAGATGTACCTACCACTTGAAATTTCATCAATTTCTGTTGCTGTCAATAATGCAGCTACTTCTTTTATCAGTGAGGGTTGCTGGGCTGTGTGCACGTGAATATAAACCAAAGAAGGGAAGATTTGTATTTCGTGCAAGATAATTTATTCAATATTCGTAGCAGAGCGCTTTCGACTGATAAGTCATCATCATCAGTGCGTACCTGTAAGTAAGTTATCTGCTTCTAGCTATTGGAAAGAAATTGAAATTGAAAATTCGAAAAAAATGTTCAAAAATATTTTTATAAAAAACATTTTTGAAAAAATTGTTTTGAAAATTTTTTTTGGAAATTCGTTTTAATATCGAAAAAGTAAAAAATTAAAAAATGAATTGGTGACTTGTTACTTTTAAATGAACTTTTGATTTAAAAAAGACATTATAATAAAATCGAAATTTGAAATTGTTAAATATGAATTTGGAAATTGATGAAAGTGAGGTTACTTACTCGTCAGGTAAACAGGGAAATTCGTACATAAAAATATCTTTGGTCCAGTTTAAAACTTACGACATTAGGGTAAAATACGTTAAAAACAAATTGAAATGTGTTTCCCAAAAGGGGGTGAAATATGGATTACAGTTTGTTAAGCAGCCATTGTCGCTGCGACATGTCATGTTGAAGTGAACTTGATGAGTGACGGACCTTGATTTAATTGTCATTGAACGTACTGAACTAATGGAGGCAAATTTGAAGTTGACATGCATGACATGACATCCAAGACATGATATGTGTCAAAGGAAAATCAAGAATGTTTATTATGAAATATTAGTGAAGATAAACATTATGAAATCGGGAAGAAATAACCAAGTCCCTAAGGAGTAAATGTTTTGTTGGTCTAATGAGAACCTAACTAACATGTCACTCAATTTTGTTTTTTGTATATCGCTACTTCAAAGTTGGGAACCAACTCCCCAGAAGTCGAAACTTGTGCAGGGTTAGGAAGAGCGGGACCTACAGCTTATAGTGGAATCCGAACCACTTCTTGGGCATCGAGGTGCTGCCAGGATTACAACCATGAATCACACATTCTAAAGAAAAATGCTCAGCAGATAGCCGGATTCGAACCGACAGTACCTCTGCATCGTGAACGGATATCTAGCGAATTTCAGCGCATAGACAAACTCGGCCACTCAATAGTCTGGTTTATCAAAATGCAACAATTCAACAAGTGAATACACCAGGGCTGAGAGCTCACACTTCTTTTATTTTCATATTCTAAACTGATTTCAATTAATTCATCCATATTTTTTCTTAGGCAGATGGCAAACAGCATTCAAATGCAATATTTTGTTTTTAGTTTTTTGAAGCTATGCTGTCGCTGTCATTTCGGAAGCAACCAAAATTCGTCCACCATCTCTGTGTTAAATGATTTGCAATTTTGGTTGACACGACAGTAATAAATGAACGCGTGGTTACGTCAAACTGGAATCCACCAAAGAATACATGAACACAGTTGGTGGATTGATGAAGCCACCGGTGAATAAAAGAACGTCCCTTATATTAAATCAGAAAATTATCGACGTGAAATTTGAAGTTTTCAAGAGGAATTACACCTACATTGCAGGCATCTTCATCATTCTTTCGAAGTAATCAAATATCTGTCAGTCTAATTCTGTGGTTTGATTTCAAAAAATTGCGAACTTACTGGTTCTTTAGTAATTTTCGTAACCGCGACGTAAAATGGAAAATATAAACGGACTTGCAGTTCTCTCTCGAGGACGGTGTTATTGGCTTATAAGGGCTCACACCAATTCATATTTCACCAAGTAGATCCAGCTCCTTAATGAAGCCTATTAGTTCACTTGGTAAACACCTTCAGGTACGAGGAGGGTAAAACCCTGCCAAACACCGAAAACCTGATTCGGGCGGCGGTGAGGCAGGCACAAATTATATGATCTGCTTTTTCATCATCTTCAAAACAGAGGCAGCATGTCGGATCGTCCGACAGTCCAAATCTAGACATATGATGATTCTGAAGACAGTGACCTATAAGTATCCCTGCTGTAGTCTAACATTTGTTTGATTACATAACTCGAAAGGTGTATGAATGCCTTGGATAGAGAAGTTAGATCGGGAGATCGAGCAGGCCATTCAATAGAACCTTTTTTCAAATCATATTTTATTAAATGTCCTGTCTAAGCGATCTCAAACAATGCGAGCGTAATGAGGAGGTGCCCCGTCCTATTGAAACCCGATATCATTAGGTCATTATTCATTTTCCTTCAACGACAGAATCACTTGTGTATCCAACAGATTCAAATATTTATCTGCATTCGATGTTTTTCCATAAAATGACACTATAATCCTGTTGGAGTGAATACCAGCTCAAACTTTCAGTTTTCAGGGATGTTGTGTATGTGCCTCTTGTATACCCAATGCGAATCAGTTTGCGACCAGTACCGGCAATTTCGTCTATTCGCTTTACCACTATATCGGACTCTTATAAGACAAAGAACACACACTTCCACCACTATTTCATCGTCCCTCAATACTTTATCGACTTTTCCAGATTGCTCTGTTGTAATTGAAAATAATAATAACAAATGATATATCAATGAATTCACCAATAAATTCTCTTTACGCTTTCATAAAAAAATATAGAGTGTGTCATTCGAAATACTGAAGTTGAGAAGAATTTCGAAAGAACTAGAAACATTGCAACATTGGCGATGATATTTTCGAATTCGCCATACTTTTGAAACCATTATGTACAAAAATTCAACCAAATCTAGCAAACGGTTACCAAGATATTCACTTAGTTACAAACTTTTGCCACTGTATATAAAAGCATTGTTTCGCAAATTATTCTTTGTGACATTTTATATTCAGCATGTTGCATTTGCTGTGTTGAACTGATAGGTCGTTTTTCAAAAGATAAAGAACTAATCAGTTATCATTTAATATTTATAGACACTGGCCTGTACATACCCAGAGGTTTGGCATCAAAACACATCTTGTTGTCCACGTGCATCTGTTTATAACATTGATGGCCAGACGTCGGCGTTCCGAGATATCCATCTTTACACTTCGAACATTGCACCATCCAGCAAGGATGGGCGGAATTTTTTTCCGCCACCCCTCGGCAGACGTCGCTCTCGGTGTTGTTTTGGCAATTGCATTTATCGCCGTGGATGGGGTCGCAAGTGTCGCCGTGGCCGTGACAATCGCAAGCACGGCAAGGATCCCTGTGGTCTTCCGTACCTCGGAAGTTTCCTGAAAAAAGAAAGCTCCTTGTTAGGGAACACGGCAAGCTCAATCAGCACATCCTTTTGTCGTCAACCTAGAGATATGTTGATAGAATGGCAAAGCTTTGGAATTCTTTGGCAAAGGAAGTATTGCCAAGAACGTATAACCTCCAAAAGTTACAAAAAATATTCTAATACCTACATGGTCGCCGCCAGGATTACTTTCAGAGATAGGTACATCTGCATCTACACACTATTATTCATTTTTTCTACAAACGTCAAAAAATTATAAGGTTCGCGCATTGATAACAAATTGCGAAGTGACACTTTTTTCAGTTTCCTACGTTACCATGATATCTTGCACTAAACAATGCGCGAAGTAAAACAGTGCGCGAAGTACCTACTTCGCGCATTGTTATGTAAAATATATGAGATATTTATATTTCAACTTTATGGTCCTCAATCGAGCAAACATCCACAAAATTATTTATTTTTGAATGTTCGACAATAACTTTGTTTTATCTCTTGGAGCGCACGAAAGGAAATTCCTATTATGTTCGTGGAACATCTTGCGTATCTAGGGAGGATACGGGGAGGCCTTTTAAGCCAGTTCAACACTATTTTTTATATCAAGCTAAGCATATTTTTACTTAAGAACGATACTTTTTGACGTTTGTAGAAAAAATGTTGTTTGCAGCTCGAGCGCGAAATACTTTGGTCATCTCGACTATTTTTTAACTCGGCTACGCCTCGTTAAAAAAATCAGATCTCGATCACCAAAGTAGCATTTCGCGCTCTAGATACAAAAATAACTATATTTATTCATTCATTGAATCAAGTAATATCTACATTTTGTCATCGAATATCAATTAAATGTATATATTTCATATTGTATCTCCTTCACCTGTGCGTGAAAGAGATACATTATTTCACGTATAAAATTGTTTTTCCACAATATAAATATTTGCACTGAAAATGAATTCAATTCATAGAGTCCATTATAAAGATCATCGATTTTTTCGCATTTCCCATACCTAAGCCAACTTTCAACTTCTTTTTTGGAAGGAATGATATTCAGGCGTTTTAATTTTGATGGTATTTAATTATTAATTCTAGATCCAATAAAACTAGAATGTTTTTCTAAAATTCTAAGCTTATGTTTTTCAAGTCGTACATTGTTGATTTTGTTTCTTGCATCATAACTATGATTGAGTTTATTGGTTATTGCCGGATTCTTTTTAATAAAGATTATTGACGCCTTATAGAATAATTGCCTAACATTCAATTAATTATTTTTCTAAAATTAATGATGCTGATGGATAATCAAATGATTCTCTGAATATTATTTCCAGAAGATATTTTTGAATACATAATAAAGGTTTTAGATGAGTTTCAGAAATACCACCCCATCCGATTATTCCATATGATAATATAGATTGGCAGAGAATGTCATAAAACATGATTATTACATGTCTACTGACATTATTTCGCAAAAGTCTGAATTTTGGAAGAGTACTTCTGAGTTACTTCATTAGTTCTGAGACATGCTGATTCCACTTGTTATCAAGTCAGAATCAAGATTTTTTTACTATTCCAATAGCTTTTTCTGCAGTAGATATAGCTTGTGACCAAGAATTTTCATTCGCAATTATCAATGTATCATCAGCATATGAGAAAATACGTCCATCAATATCTGTTTTTAATATATCATTAATATAAATGAGGAAAAGAATTGTACCAAGAACAGTTCCTTCCGGAACACCACAAATAAGATGTGTTTTTTGGCTGAAAATATCTCGTAATTTTACAAATTGTTCTATTTCCGATAAGTAACTCTTTAATAAGTCCAAACTCTTACTCCTTATGCCACAACTTCGTAGTTTTCTGTATCGAAAGTTTTTTTTAAATCTAGATATATTACTATAGTTTCTTTGTTGTCATCAAGCGATTTAATAATTGCATTTGTAACATGAAATATCGAGGTTTCTGTTGCTATTCCAGGTCTGATGCCAAATTGATTGGGAGATATAATGTTTTTGCTTTGTAAGAAATTATATCTTTTTTCTAAACATTTTCCTAGAAGTTTTGCTATATTATTTATTTAAGATATGGAACGATAATTATCAAATTATTTTCACTGGATTGTTTGTGCACTGGGATAATTGTATTCATTTTTAAAGCTTTAGGAAAAATACCTTTCTGATAACCTAAATTAAATAGGTAAGAATTGGAGAAATTACATTCTTGATACTTTTTAGAATTCTGTTATCGATCGGATCTGGTCCTGGAGAACAATTAATTTCAAGGGAATTTATAAAATTAATTAATTATGTTTCTTCAATGACAGTAAGAATATGCTATCAGAACAATAAGTTTCATTCAAATTTTTCTAGCATTTAGGCATCTTAATTTTTTTAATTAAATTATGTCCTATATTTGTGAATTGATTTATGAGTATATTTGCTTTTTCATTTTTATAAGTAGTTACAATATTGTTCTCATTATATAATTCATGAATGTTATTTATTGGCACATTCTTTCTTCCTGTTAATTCATATTAACTAATAAAATATTAGTAATAGATAATTATACCTAGGTATTATGTCAGTTAAACATATTTGGATAGCAACCTAGAACCCTCAAGTTTTTATTTGAACAGTAACAGACATTCATTTCTCCGTGAATTTTATGGCAAATTATTGTATACGAATTTTAAATTTTTTCTATAAGGTCAGATTCTTGTTCAAAAACAATTTCAAAAAATGTTCTGCTAGCTAGCTAGCGCGTCTGTGGCGTTGCCGTTTTCACTTATGGTTTAATTATTTAGAAATGTTGTATTGACTTTATGAGACTGTAACTCAATGTTAGCTAGGTACATATATAGGTAGAATGATATTTTTTGTAGTCCTGATTTCCGGACTAGTGGACTGTATGAAACAAACTATTCATGGAATAATCAAGCAGTCCAGAGGCCTGATGTATTTTTTTCATCTCTTGGAGCGCACGCAAGAGAATCCCTGTCATGTTCGAGGAACTTGGTGCGAACCTAGGGAGGATAGGAAGAGGTAGGTATTGAAATTGTTTCTAAACTTTTGGAGGTAAAATTCAGATCCATATGTGAAAATGAGTTTTCAATCAAGAGTTGAAGTTGCGATCACTTTTTAGTATTTTCAAGAATTTGAAAAATGCCGAATTTTGTTCTTCGAAATTTTGACGAGGTTCCCAGAATCTCTGGTGGCAGGGGCCAATTTTATTTTTTCTAGGAAATCACTACGGTTGCGATCAGCGTTGGTGATAAAGTTTTTTCGGCTGAGTTACATGCAAAAATATGAATAAATAATTCATTCACTCTGATGGCAAACTTGCAAATGGTCGCAGAACTGAGAAAATATCGAAGCTGATATCTTCTTTGTTTTCAACATTTTGTGATTCAGATACATTTGTGATTCAGATAAATTTTTTACAAAATAACCACGATATCTCAAAGTATACGTCAATTGAGCACTGTTCCTCCTAATGTAATACTGAAACCTATATAGGCTGAAAGACTTCGGTCGATAGTTCAATAATTGTTTGAATTCAATAAAGAACTTTCGTTATTATTAAACTTATCAAGTTGCATAGCGCTTGAGAATGAATCTATAGTATGAGTCATGATAAGCCCGGCAAACTTTTTGTTCAGATTCTTTTCTGATTGATTTTGTATTGAAAAAAATGTATTGCCAACGTATGAACTAAAATGAAACCTAATTGAGATGCAGGTTGTCAAGAATACGAAAGAAGTCATGATCTATTGAATTGAATAACTATCACCCCATATAATATATGAGGTATTGCGGTTAAATTTTATATAGGGGTATTCCAGCTATGCTCGAATCGAGTAGCCTGCCCACTTTTGGTCTAATAGTCGCTTTTGTAATTGTGACCCCTTCAACAAATTCCAAATTAGAAGGGTGTTGCGCGTTGATATTGCACACATTGTATACATATTTCTTTTAACCACTGTTGCCAGACCTTGTTGAACTTACGAACAGCAAAACTTACCAATGATGCATTCGTCACATCGTGCCCCTGAGGTTAAATTTCCACACCTCAAACATCGGGCATTATTCTTCGGCCCTTCCCTCAAGTTCTCATTGATGTAATCATAATCAATATAATCATCTGGATCGAGATCTGTACTGTTATCGACACAGATCGAACTGTGCCCATGACAATATTCCAAACAAGGCACGCAATTACCACCATCAGCTGGGTCTCCAACGAAAAGAGGCTTGCACTTCTCGCACTGCGGTCCCTACAACATCACCAAAACAACATTATTGAACGCTTATTTGTTCGAAAGGTGAGACGACTCACCATCGTGTTATTGTGGCATAACAAGCACTTGTCCAATTTGTCTGGACCTTCACAGTTAGCATGGCCGTTGCATTGACATTGTATACTGCAGTTAGCACCGACATAGCCAAAGTCGCATTGACATTTATTAGGTTGGACACACTGACCACGGACACAGCCTAGCAAAGCAAGCAGTCAACAATAAACATACAATATGAAAACAACCCGAGTATTATTATTTATCCCCATGATAGACAAACATCTCATTGACTCTTTACGGAACCGTGATAGAGTAAGGTAATAGTAAGGGTAGATGGAGGACATCGAGGTGCTTCTGAATAACTTATATTTCATGGATCTATCATTCTTAATAACGAAGATATAGGGTGATTTATCAATCTTCTCCATTTTTTCTAATTGATCATAACTTATGAACAACCCTGAACATTTTTTTTGGATTTGGTTTGTACGTTCTTTGTCCACAGTGGTGTCGATTGACATAATCTAAAAAAAAAGTCCTTTTCCAAGGCCGGCTTGAAAAAATTAATAAGTAGTTTTCGAGTCGAAACAACACTAATGAGGTGGCACAATATTGAAAAAAAAACTGTCGCCCCCTAATGGCACTTTTCCATTTTTAATCAATTAAATCATCAACTATTTCTTATTCTCCTAATTTTTGGATCCCGACCTAATTGAAAAACTAGAGGACAAGTCCGTATTTGGGACAAATTATTATTATCAATGACTAACTTTAAATACCCTTTATGTGTAAGAACATTATCATAACATGCATAACATGATAATATGCATGAAGAACAATGCCCATTCCGAAAAACATTGTTTTAAACAAAAATAACGTTGCCACAAATCTACATTTTAGAAGTTGAACTTTTTTAGCTAGAGCATGATGGTACGTACACTTCGGGTTTGATATCCCAAATCAATACTTTGTACTTGTGTTTTGTGTTGTAATGTTATTAGTTGATAACAGTTATTGCTTGATACTGAAACACAAATTTGATAAAAATGAATGTGTTGTAGGTCTATGGATTTATTTCAAAACAATTTGTTACAACGACATTTTTGTTTGAAATGAAATCATGATTTTTTCGGAATGTTCAACAAACATTTTCATTTGTTGTTTTGAATAATGTAGTACATGGATCCAATGTTATGATAATTTCAAGATAATTCTTACACATACAACTTAGTCATTTATAATAATAATTTGTCCCAAATACGGATATTATGTCCTCCCGTTTTCAATTATGTTAGGATCCAAAAATTAGGAGAATGAGAAAGAGTTGATGATTTCGTGGATTGTAAACGAAAAAGCACCATTTGGGGCCACAAATATGTTTTTTTTTTTATTTGTGCCACTTCATTATTGAAACTTCTAGATTCGACTCAAGTTAATATGTAAAAAAGTTGTATGCGGAAACACCAAATACATTCAGTCCGACTTATTTTTTCATGCTCTTTCCAAATTTTCAAATGAGATTTTGAAATATTGATATACAGGGTGTTGTTTCGACTCGAATCTTCTTATCAATTTTTTCAAAGACGGCCCTGGAAGAGGACTGTTTTTTATTATGTCAATCGTCATCACTATGGACAGAGAACACAAACCAAATATCAAAAAAGTTTATAGGGTGGTTCATAAGTTATGATTAGTTGAAAAAATGGGGGAAATCAATAATCACCCTGTATCTTGGTTATAAAGAGAATGATAGCCCCATGAAATATAGATCCATCTACCCTCACTGTATGCACATTTCCCAATGAATCACCCTGTATAATATATAAATGAGATATGTTTCAATGAAATGAAATGGTTTGATATAATATCAAATTTACCAACAATTAGTGTAGTATCGAGCCGATGAATATTTATAAAATGTCAAAATCTCTATAAGTTATGTCTTGACTGGTAAGCGCTGACACTTGACGTATAAGAGTACAAAATCACCTTGAACGAAATACCTCAAATCTAGTTTTCACGTCAACATTTGATAAATATACGCGAGAAAAGTGCACCAATAAACACAGAATGGTTTATAATAAAATTACTATTGAATTGATTTGATTTGAATACGAGACAAACATTGTGACATTCCTATAGTGATAGTGATTATTTTCACACAGTTTTTTTTATTAACAGATCAAAATGACCTGTTATTTAATTTTCAGTACTACTACATCACCAACTGTTAATTTTATTCCTATTACATCACAGTGGATATTTAACTATATTCTTTCCAAAGCATAGCTTATCTGATAATAATAATGGATTTTATCGACCGGATTGAGTGAAAATATATGAATAATACAGAAACAATAATACCTATCAAAAAGGAGAATTCAAGTTCCGATTACGTCACGTGAGGGTACCTAGTACATAAATAATAACCGTGATGTCAGAGAGTTGTAAGAAATGCTGTGCTGCTTATTAAATTCATTTTGCCTGTTATCAAGACAGTAGTTTTCTCGTGCATCTCTTCTTTCTTTTCTTGGGAAGATAATAATTATTATGAACCCAGTGAAACCTTCTTTCGCAAAGAATTGCCAAGAAGCTGTCAAGTTGTTACACTGCAAATTCTAATGCTAACAAATGACTGTCCTCTTTTATAACTAGAATTTTCATGAATTGAAATGACTTATAGTGTCTCCAACTATTTCATGACTTACTTCCTGCTATTATCAATAACGCAAAGCAAAATGAAAATGCTATTCAACGAGTGATTCTTCGGAGAATTATTGCATCATTTTGCTCGAAATGAGAGCTACCATAAATAGATTGTACACCAGATCGCGTTACTGAGATGTGAGGTCAAAGTTAGTAAAACTGCTAGGGATAATAATTGTACTTTTCGTGCCGTATGGCCACAAGTCTGATCAAGTCTAATCATGACTTCAAGTTTTATATTTGTTTACATAGGCCACACAATTGTTAAAGAACATTTTCAAAAAAATAGGCCTCTGTCTTCAGGGCTATCCGACAGAATTTTTTAGACCTTTTACTTTGATATAGGTCTCACGCTCTAGTAACGCCAACTGGTGACACTAAGAATGTTAGCCCATCTCACAGTGAGAAATCAAGCAATGGAAAACACATTAATGTATTGGAATTCTCGACAGACAAAGAAAGTTCCAACAAAAATGTATACATAGGGTGATCCAATAGGACGATATCCAATATACCTTTTGCTATGGATGATTGCGAAAAATAATGTACATAAACGGATATTTCTAGGACATTTTCAAATATCCTCCAATGAAGAGGATAATCTAAGAGTTTTTTTATGTCATGAAACTTCAGTTTTTATTTTTCCACATTCATAACACGAGAAATATTGAACTTCATCGCGCTAATGAGCCACTATGTATGTATAGTAGCAGAGCAGAATGGAATAAAACTCCTCATTAGTAATAACCATGATGAAATAGAACCAAGCATATGTAGGCATCGAAAAATGATAAATAACAACCCATTTGATTCACAGCAAAATAAAATTCAAGCCTTGGAAATATGATGAAAAATATCCCATACAGAAAACATGAATCATTATTGATATACACTCACTGGCAAAAAAAACGGACACCCAAAAATTCAGCCAAATTGTTCACCCTGTAATTTTTTTAATTTTTGTGCGATTTTGGTGAAATTTCGACCAACTCGTATATTAATGTTTCGGAATTTGAGCATGAATATTAATTCCTAATAAAATCTGATGGCTTGATCATTATACAGGGAAAAACAGTAGTTACTGTTTCATTCATTCAGAAACATTCTCCAACCTTCTGGTTTATCATGTTTTAAATTGAAGGGTGATCCTTTTTCGTCCCTTCTTAACACAGCGGTTCTAGATTCACGTCTATATAGTCTTTTAAGGAGAAGATACAAGTGTTTTGCAAGAGTATGACATTCTTCTAATTTTTATCACCAATAATTCAGAACCTATAGAGTATCTCAGGGATGAACTCCAGAGGCACATTCGCCTTCGCCCGGCCATGTCAGATACTCTTCAAGAGCTACTATGCGCCCTTCAAGGAGAATTATAAGCAATGGGCCTTTTTCAGTAAGAAATTTTATTTCATTATTTCGAAGTACCAACCCGAACTAGTTCACTGACGCAAACCGTTTTTTCCAAAGAGCTCCGTAACTTTTTCAAACGCAATTCGGCTTACATATCCATTCTCCATTTCTGATAGACAAGTGCAAGAATATTTCTGATTGTGATTTCAATCAGAATAAAGAATGAATTTTCTGGATTGAATACTTACTGCAGATGACAGAGAATCAATCAATCTTGACTAGATGAAGCAAGGATTTGACAATGAAGGTGACAGCCGATATTAACGTCAGGAAGTTAGGTGGACAATGTAGTTTGTCTTCCTCTCCCGTTTTGTATTTCAGAGAACTTAGACATTATACTGTTGCCCGTGCCACAAAATAATTAGGGATTGAATAGAATCTTGATCATTATTAGGAATACTAGGATATTTTTATCGGTACTGAAGCATCTTGCAATTATTCAATAAGTGATTATTAGGGACCAGGTCGAACTATTGTCTTCTGTGAATGTGAATACTATTGTCATTGGTAATATTGAATCTCATAAGGAAATATGTAGTGCTACTTCTAACCTAACATGGCCTTTTTCGAAGCCGGCGAATTTAATTATTGAAAACAAATATCTGCGATGATTTTTAATAACGAATTGCATCGAATACTATATATACACGGAATGCTCAATATAAAATAGTTACGTGGCGTAAATTCGACCAGAGTGTTCAACCCCATTCCTCAAGACTACTCGAGAAATTTGATCAATTCGATGCCACTGCGGTTGAATGCTGTAATTCTAACTCGAGGAGGGCATAGTCGTTATTGACTACAGGTCTGCTTCTTGTTTGTTTTTTTGTGATCAAGGTTTTTTTCGGTAAGTGGCAAGAAAATGAGGTAGAAATAAGTGATATTGTTTATCGATAAGTTTATGTAGGTTCTGATTATTGTCAAAAAATTGAAAAAGCCATACTTTCATAAAACACTCGAATCGAATAAGATATGGATGTGAATCAAAAACTATTGTGTTGAGGTGGGATTACACTACGATTCGAAGCATAATGTAGTCAAGTTTCACCACTCAATTTCTTCACACGGCGTTAAGAAATAAAG